ACAGCATTCATATTTCTTGTAAAATGTTGGTACTGATTACTATGCAAATGTGTGATTAGTATGCATAACCGCATCCTGTAGACACACACGCACATATATGTTATGTTAGATATTATATGGACCTTTTTAACCCGGATTTCAGCCTAAATTCTGGGTTGTGACTTTTTATCAAACATTTTTCTTAGACATGAACAGTTTTATATTGGTTTTATTATTCATTTGTTGTTTTTTTTCTGTTTGGTTGTTTTTTGGCTGCTTTTCAGTTTTTCTGTGATAGTAATCAGTTAAATACCTGACCTTAGTCATGTTTATATCTCAGGATACCAACATCCCCAAATTATTTCATATTGATAATATTTACCCAGAATCAATTTCATAATTTTCATTCAACTTGAGGTAAGCTTGATCCTTTAAGGTGAATTCTATGACTTTTTAAAAATTCGCATGAAGAAATCTCGAAGATTCTTCAAAAATCATTCAAATCAGAATTGGTCCCAACAGTCATGATTGTGACACCCAATGCCTCTGAAAGCTACTTCACAGGAAACTATCACATGGAAATTATTATGAGTGTGTTGACTGTGACATTGTTTTCTGATAGTTTTGGTTTAAAATGCTTTTTTTCTAATTCATTTATGGTGGAGAGGTAAGCGTAGGGCCCAAAGTACCCAAAGAAAATTTGCTACAAATTTACCATTACATATAAAACTCAGAAAACACATGTAGGTTTATTGGTAGTTTTGGATCGTAAATAAAATGGCTATATTGGCACTGGAGACATTGTGGCCCCTGTTTCCTATCACTACCACTGTAAAGAAATAGTTAAGTTTCTCTAAAATAAAACATTTCACCTCAAAACTCTCCGAATGACTTTGCTTACATCTAAACGACTGAATTATGCAGAAAATTTGATAAATCTGTGGTATCCCCCTTTAGAAATCAAAGAAAACAACCCTAGCCATAAATTAACTGCAACAGAGTGCATGGAGGAGTTTTTAGCTTAACTGTGGTGCTTTCCTGAAACAGAGTTCTATTTTGAAACTCTGCCCAAACAGATACGTTCTGAAGCAATGGTATTCCTACTTGAGTATAATTTTCAATTCTCTTTCCATCACTGTTCTTTCGAACTTTGATTTTGCTCTTCACACTCACAGAAACTGAAACATGCGCTCAAATATTGAGTCGCTGACCGCACTAGTTTTGGAGCGCTTGTTCTACCCTCCTTCCTTTCTCCTCCCTCCTCCTTCTAACCACCCTGCGTGTTTCTTCCTCTCATTCTGAAACATCTAAATCTTTTAATATTAAATATTGAACATTGCAGTGGCACTTTCATGTGGAAAAAAATAAATTAAAAACAAGAAAGCTATTTGTTCTTTATTAATGCTAATAACCTTTCTGACACTCTCCCATTCTCTCTCTATCTCTCCCACACACAGACACTAATGTACTGCGTTACATAATCTGAGGTGAAAAGTCATTGTCTGGCGAGATTTTTCACACTTTCCATTTGGCTCTGAAAACAGGGAGAAGAAAGTCAGCCTTTCAGGTTTAAATTTCAGTTGTGAGATTTCTCTCTTGAAATAGACAAGGTTTCAAAACATCACTGCGGCTATGAATACAACCCAATGCAAAATTCACAAACAGACGAAACAAATGATTAAACAATTTAATAAAGTGGTGAAGATGAAGAGTGCTTAAAGGATGGCCTACAAGTAACATGACCTATCAGAGTGATAATACAGTACATAGTCTACGTAACTCAATCATGAGTCTGCACAGAATGCTTCTGTTTGACTGTTGTTTTACAGCCTGCAGAGCCTAAAGTTGTCCAAAAAGCAGCTTTTTTTTCATAGCTCAGGGGTATTATTGGCACTCATGGTATTAACACCAAATGAAGTGCAACTGATGGAGTTGCACATAATTCAGAGGAATTCAATATATTTAAGCATAATTCAGAAGAATTAATTATATATAAGCATTGCAACCCTTTAGAAATTCACCAAACAACATTCAAGGCCTGCTGACCCTAAAGGTCATTATGAGTAGAACTGTCACCTCTCAAATGCACTAATCGCATTATCTGCAGGAAACTTTAGTAAATACAGTCATTCTTGCACAGCAACTGCACCCTTTGCCCCCCTGTCCTAAAATCCTGCAACAGCTGCTGCCATATTTTTGCTCTCACATACAAAAAAATACACACAGCTTTTTCTCATTTGAACTGAAAGAAAAACCGGAAAACCAGTGTTGCTAAAAGAGTCCAACACCTTGTTCCAAAAGCAAGAAACAGTAAATGTCCTAATCAAATGTGGTGCATGAGAGGAAGCCAGAGGCCATGTACCTTGGACAGATGTTTGCAAGATGGCTGAAAGCTGGGTACTTGGCCCTAATTAAAATTTATTTCTATTAAACAAAATAAAGAGGAATTTTCTAGACCAGACAGTCATTTAATCAGAATTTTAAGACAATTAAGCCACAACAAAGTACTACTGTAAATAAAATAGGCCTATATTATGGTAGCACTGAAGATATCACATTAGAAGTAGATTCTATAGACCAGAGACATAAAGTACTCATGAGTGGTTAGGTTTAAATTCATCTTTGATTAGCCATTCTTTGTTTAATCATAGACTGTTCTGTGCAATCACTTTTCATCCAAACCTAAATCAGTCAACATATCTTTATATCTAGATTTTATATAAGACATGAACACAATATCTATAGAAAGGTAGAGTCACAGCAGTATATACAAAAACCTTAGGCAAAGAATATAACTTTGTAGAGGAGTGAAGGATAGGCCTTTTATCTGCCCCTGAATGACTAAGCTGTTGTTTTTTAAGTAGGGAAAACTTTAAGCTGCACACTGCCATGGCCTCCACTTTTCTGAAACAGGTCTAACCTTGTCAAGTTGTTAAGTAATGTCAAATAGGCTTGCTTAACTGGTTTCTGACACTGTATGACTACTCTTTATTTTTACTGTATTTTGCCATTAAGTACACGTTACTCATTTTTTAGAAAATACGTCTGAGGAGATAAGATCTAGGAGGATCCTTATGCATAAAGAAGGGCAAAGTCAAAGGAAAACAAACAAAGGAAAAACGGGAAAACAGGAAAGACAGAGAAAAACGGGACTCCTAAAAACCATGATAGACCTGGTAGACCACCAACACAATCACCATTAGATAAACTGATGAGATAAGATAATTTGATTAGATAAAATCAGATAAAATGAAGTCTTTCATCTTTAAGAAATAGAACAAAAACATTCTTAACTTGGTTCAGATCTGAAAAAAAAAGCACAGGTGTTTCTGTCCATCCTTCCAGTGTGAGAAGACAACTCAAAATGTTCTGAAAGGATGTGTAGCTGTCAAGAACCTGCGACAGAGAGAAGGAATTTTGCAAATTTCTCACAAAGAAGTTACTGGTGTAATCCCCCAAGTGGGATTACTTGGATCCTGAGAAGCAGAAAGTGCAATCAACTTGTAAGACTGAACTTTGAAGGCCAGCATATTTTTAAAAAACTAAAAGCAAGACTTCCATGTAAATTATTGTTAAATGTACACTTTTGTGCTGAAAAATGTTGTACTTTATGGCCATTCTGACTGTGAAAATGAAAAGTAAATAAAATGTGGTCTCTAACTTTTGCACAGTACTGTCCTGGTATGTATTAATTGACAAAGATATGCTGCATATCTAACAACTGCAGTAGCACCCACAAATTTTGTCCATACTTTTTATAGCCAAGATAACACATAAATAGATACCATACAATGTCAGAAACTGTACAAGTAAGTCAGTTTTAGAGGATCTAACAGCTCAGTGGTTTAAGGCAAGTGTGCTATGGATTAGGCATGCAGTTTGTATTACAGTAATTGGTGGCTATAAACTTATATTACCTTATTAGCTCTTAACCCCAGTCTAAAACTAAAGAAAGCAAACATTTGACACTGAGCAAGTTCTCACTGATTGACTGGGTTTTAGGTAAGGGAGAAATACTCTACATTTGATTTTTGGCCAAACTATTGCTATGAGACTTATACTGCTGAGGACAAAGATAACCGAAAATCCCCTAAATCCCCAGCCTCATTCTCATATATTACACACACACACTGACACACACACACACACACACACACACACACACACATGCATACACACACACACATGTTCCACTTACTTACACATTCCACTGACCCTCTGAATGATGAATCTCAAGAGAGATTGAGCAGGCCAGAGAGTTAATCAGGGACACCCCCACAGATCACTCCACCTGTGGGTGCCCCTGCAGTTACCCACACAAGTTCACACACATACACATCACATTGTCACAGTTCATCAGCGGACATTTTGCGTAAGCATGTTGTATCGTTCTTTTTTTAACTGCTTGAGTAACTTAGCATAGTATTGTTACTTTGTAATTAGCAGTATTTCTGTAGTAGTACCATATAAGGTAGCAACATATTACATTTAACTCCATATAGTGATACCCATTAAGGGCCAAGCTGCCCATGCAGATGTGTGACTGAGCGCATGACTGAGAGGTCCAGGTGACAAAGCTAGGAGGCTGCACCCTATCGAAACTAGGTGCAGTCCAGCGTGTCACCACATAAGGGCCTCAATGAGACAATAGGAAGTGAAAACCTTGTATCAGCTCCTCCAGTGGCCCACATAAACTGACATAATCACGGATTGAGCTCACATCAGACAGCCAAATTAAGGGAAAAATCGATTTAGATTATCAAACAGATTATTTTGGACTGTACGTTTCAGCTTAAGGTCCCATATATCATGGGAAATCCTAACTTGTTTTGAAATAATTTGAGTCAAAACATACAATTTACTACCCAGTCCATACAGTTCATATATGAAAAACTATGCTGCAAAACAGCCCGTTTTGAATTAATTATTTTTATAATGTCACTTGTAGTTCGTTTGGACGCGAAGAACAGGAGCGGATCCTCTTACAGGCTCGATCAGGTTTTGTGGAAAGTGCTGATATGAAATTCAAAAATTGCTTCCCTGCATTCGAAATGTGAGCTTTACGCACATTCGCAACAGCGCCGTGTGTAAACAGACTAGATTAAAGGTTTAGTTGAATTTATAAGAACACCAACATCTTCCTCGGGTTGATTTTAGTGCTACTGCTATGGCGACTCTGCTCTGCAAAAGAAGACTTTGCATATTTGCTGTGCTCCGAAGAGTCTCACAAAACGCACGCCTTTTTAGGTAAGCAAGATATGCTGTGACAGCTATCGGTTCTTGATGTGTTACAGGATGAATGGTCCTGAGCAGTAGACAGTATATTTCAGTTCTGACTCACTTCGAATTTTACACATCCTTAAGAGATTTAGTCATTTAGCTGCTGTGACCAGATATGATTTGAAATCGTGAAACTCGGGTTGTAATTTGTGTTGTTGATGAAAGGTGGCGCTAATGTCCTTCGGTCTGTCTGAACTTTAATTACTCGTGCGTCTGCTTTAGCCCTAAATACTTAAGAGTAATGCATTTCTGTTGCCTTTTCCCTCACTATGTGCGACAGCTCTGGTAAAAAGAGTGTAAATGGAGTGGAACTTTTCTACCAGCAGACTGGGCAGGGAGACCACTCTGTGTTACTGCTGCCAGGAGCTCTGGGTGAGCCATTACTTTTGTAACAGACAGTGGGCTCTAAAGATCCCATGTATTGTTGGGACTTTTAATTGGTCGATATCAGCGGGGGAAAAAATCGTCTAATCTAGTCCTGTAAAAATATGTTGTCAACTATGTAGTTATACCTGTAGGGTAGAAGAGTTTTTAAGTAATTTGAGCATGACATCTTACTTTAAGATGCTGATCTTAAGTGCTTTAGTTAAAAATAGCTTTTTGTTAAAGAAAAAATATCAGATAGTTATCTGAATCAGCTGATACTCAAGGTTTCAGCACTTAGTGGTATCATGCCATCTGTAGTAGATTCACCAATCTTGAATTTTAGTACAACAGAGCAAACTTATACTTGCTATGCATAACAGTGTTGGAGGACACTTGTGTTCTGTTTCCTCTGTGTGGACAGGCAGTGGTCAGACTGATTTTGGTCCACAGCTGGAGAAGTTGGATAAGAGACGATTTACAGTGGTGGCGTGGGATCCTCGTGGTTACGGACGCTCACGTCCACCGGACAGAGACTACCCTCTGGATTTCTTCCACAGGGATGCTAAAGATGCTGTAGACCTGATGCAGGTTAGATGCTTAGAGTGTTTCCTCCCTTCACTCACAATTAATGAGAGGTAATGCAAGGTTGATTTTATGTTAGTTTGCTGTAGATGGTTAGAAGCATGCACATTTACTTTTATTTTTAGAAGATATTAGAGTTTAAATTTATTCAGATGTGTAAATTATCATGGAGCATGTACTTTACTTCTTGTTTTTATAAGTAAAGCTATGCCACCAAACCAAATCTCTCCACTTTTTGTCTTTCTCTTTGTCTTTTTTTTTTTCAGGCATTAGGGTTCAGGCATTTCTCCCTCCTGGGCTGGAGCGATGGAGGAATCATTGCTCTCATCGCTGCAGCATTAAACCCTGCCCTTATTAAAAAGATGGTGGTGTGGGGCTCCAATGCTTATGTCTCAGAGCAAGATCTCAAAATCTACAATGGTGAGACAGAGGAGAAGTTTACAATAGTGATGGCAGAAACGAACAAGACCATCTCTAACATAAATTTTCTTTCGGAATTCTTGTGTTCAAAGCAGAGTTTTCAAAATACCTGTTCTCTGTGCCATCGCATATTGGATTCAGCTCTATGTAGTCAGAATTGTTTGCAAATAGGTATGTGCAGATTAATACCAAAATAGCAACACTTCCAATCTTTTTTATCATTTATGACAGATATCATGCAAGGCTTACATTCCTCTCCAGTGCAGACAAACATTAATAAGTACAGTCAAAATTACAGTCAATACAAGCACAGACACAGTCACTGTCACACTAATTAAGAAAGACAAGTATAGGCGATACTTCCAATCTTAATGTTTTGCGTTTTTGTCAAAAAAGCATTTAAGAGAGAGAAAGAGCGGTTTACTGTTTAACTTTTTTTAGCATTATGAACCTTTTTAGGTCTCAACTCTACTGAGGTTTCACATTTTAGGAAGAATTCTCAGCAGCAGCTGAAGGCATGAATAAACAGACTAAACTTTTTATGTCAATTTAAACCTACACAGCAAACATATGAAGGGTTATATTCTATGCACAGACATAAGTGTATGATGTCTAGAAGTTAAATAAATGTAGTTTTCTTTCAACTGAGCTGTCAAGTTTGCATTAAATCCATAAACATTCTAGATACCATTGGCATACATGACATCAGGTTATGTGTGAAACTCTGGTTGAACTCTGGTTCCATTCTGTTCGAATGTTTCAAATGATTTGGAATTTGCATCATCATTATTAAATCACAGTCTGTTAAGAAGGAAGAGAGGGAAATTTTAAATTTTTCTCTATCATATATTAGATACTGTGTTTCAGCAATTAGAGATGTGTCGATGTGGAGTGAGCGAATGAGGCGGCCAATGGAACAGATGTATGGCCCTGAGTATTTCAGTCAGACATGGAAGAGATGGGTGGATGGCATCAGCCGGTTTGCAGATAATCCTCAAGGTGAGACAAGGGTACTGTTGGGGACAGGGCTGAGAGCATATACACAACATATACACTTTTTTTTTTGACTGTTATTCACTACATTTGATGCTTTGTCTATTTTCCTTTTCCTGTTTAGGTAATATATGTAGGGAGTTATTGCAGTTGATCATCTGTCCCACACTGATTGTTCATGGGGCTAAAGATCCAATGGTACCTTCCTTTCACCCAGAGTACCTCCTACAGAAAATCCAGGGCTCACGGTGAGTGGCTGTCAGATAGACAGCATACTTCCTTGGCCTGTTAGGCCAATATCAACAAGACTGGATGTTGGATGGAAAGGGAATGAATCTGATTCAATCTTGTAACAAATCATATCCCATCAGTGCTAATATTCTACTGCCATTTTCCTTCCCTCCCAGATTGCATGTAATACCAGAAGGGAAACATAACCTGCACCTCAGATTTGCCACTGAATTTAACTCACTAGTGGAAGACTTCCTAACCGAGTGAGAGGTACCTGGGCAGAGACGATCATGTGGAGTTGTTTTGGTCTTTTATATTTTTATGTTACAATTCCACTATCACCCAGAGAAGGATGGATTTCCTTTTTGAGTACTGGCATCTTCCTTGTGCTCTTAAAAAGTTGTTTTCTCTCACTGTTGCTTTCGGTTTGATCACTAAAGGGACAAAACAACCAAAATAAAAAATGTAACAATTGCTGCATCTGTTGAAAACATGTTAACTCACCTTCTACAGTGGTGCTGCAGTAGTTTCCAAAGTGAGATATTGAGGTTTAAAGACAAATATTATGCTCTTTTGATGATGTATGTTGAAGGTGAGAGGAGCTTTTGAAAAAATACAGTTGCAGGTGGATTTTTGAGGGTGGGCTGTTTTTATTATCATTTTTGTTGTTTGCCAGTGAATAAAGATGAAAGGCAGATAACAGTCATTACTGATAAGACACCGGAAATCATTTCCAGCTGTCTAAGTTCAAATCACCAATAGGTTGAGTGATGTATTTGAGTAATGCATACTGGCTCTTGTAGTGAGAGATCATTGATGAATGAAAACATTAATTATTTTATATAATTTTAATTCTGTCAAACCATTGAGGTTGAGGGTTGCATAACATGAAAAACAACACATTCAAAACTCTGGTTATAGGCTGGAATGCCCCTTTAAGGGTATGAACCAGGATTTTTGTAAATTGTGAAGCTGCTTTGTGACAATGTCCTGTTGTAAAAAGCACAGTACAAACAAAATAAATGTGAATTCAGTAGAAGTATCAAGTCAGATGTATCAAAATCTTTTATTTGAACTATTAAGTAAAAACGAAAGGCATTTTATGGCACCTAATGTGCAGACCGACGATGAAATAAAACACGCTTGAAATTCATTTTTCCCTATTCTATTCTCCCCAACGGAGGATGGCGCTGTAACACCAACATTATCGTTGAAGAATTTGTCTAGGTAGGAGAAGTAGAATCACTTGCACTCTTGAGTTTCGTTTTCTTGTATTGGCAGCATGAAATGAACAGTTAAGTTAATTTACTTACATTACAGCCATAATTTGGATGAATATGGAGAACGGGGCCTGCAGTGGCCAGTCAGCCGTAGAGGCCATCAGTGTTCATGACTTCTCGGAGAAGCTCCTGGAGCAGGTCGTGCATTTCCATGTGATGAAACTGACCGGTGGATTTTTCCTGTGGGTCGGCGCGAGTCCTGTATTATCAAACCTGGCGGTTTCAATGAACAGCAAATTTGTAAGTTTCGACATGTTCTTACAGTAAATGTGTATTTTCAGTTGTTTGGCTGTGTAAAGGCTCTCAAGATGGGCAGATTCAAAATTGAAATCCGTGCTGTTCGCTCATGTTGGCTAGTTTGCTGTTAGAGCTCAGACGCTCTAACGTCCACATCATATAACGTTACTGCTTTTTGGGACTTGACAAGAACAACAGTATGGAAGCCCGTTTCCGCCACTGGACAAAGTGTATAGGCATTTAGTCATAATGAGAAAACGTTTCGTGATTTTGACTTAATATTTCATAATTATGACAGCATTTCATTATTATGAATGAGATTCTATGTCAAAATTAACTTGAAAATGAAATTAAATATCTCAATTATGACTTAACATCTCATAATTATGATTTTATATATCATTAATGACTTACCATGTCATTATTATGACTTACTTTCTCATATTTATGGTACTTCAAAATAATAGCTATCCCTGCTGAAAAGGAAAAAAAAAAACAAAAACAAAACAGCACAGACCAGCATGAATTCCATTGTGGTCTTTGCTGGTTTATGCTGGTTCATGCTGCTTCGGGTGCTGGTTTACCATACCAGCATCCAAAACACAACATATGCTGGTTTTGCTGGTGATCTCTCCATTCCTACTGACAAGTATACCAGCACCCAAAACACAACATATCACTGTTGTCGGAAGAAAATCTTGCATCTCCAAAATGGTAACTTTACAGGAGAAAGAAAAAACCTACTTTATTTTTAATGTAAGTCAATGGAACCAGACGTTTTTGCAAGTCATTTTGGGTCGTTTCTTTTAGCCCATTCATCATGGAATTTACATACAATGTAAGGGACAACGGGTTCTTTTAAATTATGTCAAAAACTGAAAAATGTCAAAAGTGATCGAAAGGTTTTCTTCCGACAACAGCGATATGCTTGTCTGTGCTGGTTTTTGTAGTAGTAATGTCAATTTGGAATTGGTATCTCATAATTATAAGTAAGTGTCTCATAAGTATGACTTAGTTTCTCATGGTTTTCTTAATTAATTAATTTCTCATGAGACAGTTTTCTCATAATTATGAGATACTAAGTCATAGTTATTAGATAGAATCTCATTATTATGAGACATCAAGTCATAATAATGAGATGCTATTTCATAATAAGGAGATACAAAGTTTATTATTTATGGAAAACTTTCTCATTATTATGGCTTACTAAATGGCTGTATATTTTTTTCCAGTGGTGGGAACGGGCTTCCATACAACAGAATCCCACTTGGCTAATATAGATGTTTTCTTTCACTAGGACTCAATGCCATTGTCTACGTTGGTACTGGGAGATTCGTCAGATACAACCCCAAACTCTTTGGCTCAAAGACTGAGTAAGTATTCAAAACAATCAGCCTATATATCAGCCCAATGAAAACAGTTTGCTTGTCTAAAGTACAGTACTGTGCAAAAGTCGAAGGTATTAAAGAAAATGATTGTCAAGCCATTAAGCTGGGCAGTAAGTATTTATCTAACACTAGAAAAAATACAAATATGCGACACATTGTGATTTTATGTGTGTTAGTGTATTAGCTTACCCATTGTAAAATTTCTCCACAAGAAAGCCCAGTATTTACCGTTTAACACCTACTTCAGTTAAATGGAATTTAACAAATCCATGCAATGGCTGGAGTACTCCAATTAGTCAGTAACCAAATGCTAGCTATCTTGCTGTATTATCCTATAATAAAATTGTTGTTTTTTTAAACATATTTATGTATATTTGCAGTCATTCTATTCAAATAGGGAATATTATTTATTGCTGGCAGAAGTACTGCCATGTTAAACAGTTTTAAGCAAATTTTGGGTGCCTGAGGCTTTTGCAGTGTATCTAAAAAGCTATGATCCCACTTAAAAGTTTTTCTTTGTTGCAAGGTTTATTTGAAATTAAGTATTTCTTAAGTATAAGCTCAAGTATTTTTCTCCTTCTTTTTGCAGCAAAGAAGACGAAGAAGCAGGTGTTTGTGAGTTACAACCTGCCTGTGACAGACTCAAATCTAACACTGTTGGTGGAGAAAAGAATTAGGAAGGAGATGGAACTCCACCCTGACAAATTTTAAACACATTGGACTGTAAACTCCACATTTTGTGCTTTTTCAGTATGTCGTGTTTTGTACATAAGCAAGCTAATAAATGGTAACATAATGTTCACACATTTTGTATCTGTGCTGCTTTCAGTTTTACATTGCATACAACACTCACCAGCCAGTTTATTAGAAACTGCTACCTTGTAGGCCCACCTTGCTGCAACAGCTTGTGCTGGCAATGCTCTAGCGCTTCATTGGTGGTCAGTTTCTGATTAGAGTCACTCTTGGCTGGATATTTTTTGAGTAGTGGACCACTCGCATTCTAGCAGTGACACTGATGTATGTAAAAACCCCCGAAGCACTGCTGTGCCTAGAAAAAACTCATACCAGCCTGACACGGGACATGGGTGATCTGATCATAAGTGGGCAGCACTAAGTATGCATGGGGTACAGTGCGTCTCAGAGACACGTAATCCAATCACCAAACCACCTTTGAAGGTGGTCAGGGACACATATGACCACATAACTTCTGTAGTATGGATGCAAAAGCGCCTAGATGCATCGTCGACAGGCAATGAACTGCCTTAATCAACTGTCATCACAGCAGAGAGGAAAGCAGCTGCATAGTTTATTTTTTTGTCTCCTCTCCCATTTGTTTTCAAGTTGTGTTAGCAATCCATGTAATCTAACCTGCTGTAACAGCCCTTATGTTTGGTTGAAGTTGCGTGAAAATTTTTTATCTAACAACACAGTGAGAGACTGATGTAAAAACTCTTCCAGCCTCAAAATCCAATCATGTGGTCACAGGAGACATATTTGAGACAAGTGGAAATGTCAGGCATAAACGGCTGTACACCTTGCTTATGATCAGATCACTCGAGATGATTGTTAATACCAAGTGTGAGCCTAAGTGTTCTCCCTGCTTCAAAATAAGGAGTCAGTAATTTCTTAGGTTTTGCATTAAACACAACACACAGAAGTTTTTAAGAATGCTTATTTACTGAAATGTGATCAATAAATAAATGGTTTATCAAACACATATTCACAAGTGCAATGTCTTATAAAAATGGACAATTGAAACAGTAATCCGTGAATCTCACTTTTGTGCTCTGCACATTACTGCTGACGAACACTATTGAATAAGCAGTTTAAGAGGCGTACATCTCAACTGTGGAGCCATGTCTGACTCCATTAGATGATACAAGCCCAACTTTATTAGCATTATGCCCACAAGAATGAGTTGTTTTTTTTCCTGACATCAATGTATGTTATATCTTTAATTAGCTTTTGTTTGTCACTATTGTAAATAGTTGAAATTGGGTTCAAATTGGAAGTAAAAAATTCTAGGTGAATATGATGGCTTGCTAGTGACAAGATATCAGAGTAATGAATCTGATTTAGCTTCTTGTCTTAACATAGCCTTAACATTCTCAGTATAAGGCCAGTTACACAGAAACATCTTTTCATTTCCTAGTATGCACAACACTTGAGACAAATGTGAATATTTTTCATATTATGTGTGGACAAAATCATTTTAGTAACAGTAGAAATGCATTCTGTAATGTCTTATTCAATAGCTTTAGAATAAAAATTATATTTGGGATGAAGCCAGAGATTATATTAAGTTGTGAGATGCCACACTGCCTAACAACAATTACAGGAATTTTTCAGGAGCCCTTACTCTGTGCCCTGCCCCACCTCTGAATTTTGTACATTTCCAAATGGAAACAACTGTTCTAGTGTACAATTACATAGAATATTCACTCTTACCCACACAAATACGATGCTCCAAAACACATCTGTGCATCCTGTAGACCTGGGCCCATTTTCCAAAAGCATCAGGGCATTAAGATCGTTGTTAAAGGGGAATTCCACAGATTTTTTTCTATTTCAACTGGTATACAAAAGATGCAAAGATGTAAAGAAAGTAATGCAGCGTGGTTTAATGTGAAGTGCTCCACTGTAGAGAAAGTTACAGAGTCAGAATTTTTCACAGCAGCAATGCGAGAAATCTGAGAGGTGTTTAATGATTCTAAAAACTAAAATGCTGCTTTTTGCTTTTACATACATAAACATTACATATCGCTGTTGTCGAAAGGAAACCTCATATCTCCAAAATGGTAACTTTACAGGAGAAGGAAAAAACCTACTTTACTTTTAATGTAAGTCAATGGAACCAGATATTTTTCCAAGTCATTTTGTGTCGTTTCTTTTGGTCCATTCTTTGTGAAATTTACACACTATGTAAAGAGCAACAGGTATTTTCAAATTATGTAAAAAAACTGACGACAAAAATGGAGATGGAAGGTTTTCTTTCGACAGCAGCAATATAACATCTGAGGAGACTTATATTGTTAGCATATAAATATCAAAATTAAAATGAAAATGTAATATGTAAAATGGCAGTGTATTTGTATGTTTGCATTTAAATTACCTGCTCATGTATGCAACGTTGAGCTCAAAATTAAAATTCAAATTCAGTCCTGTGATTTTAATTTGCCATTTGGTATCACTAGTATTGACATTTCATTCACACAGATTTAAATGCTTTACGAGTAGCTTTATTTAAATTAACGCGTATTTCCAGAACTGCATATTTATATTTAATGTGATTATGAAATAATTGTGTCAAAATGATAAAATGTAATCGATCTTATATGCATTTTCACTCTCTAATAATGCAATTAAATTGGATTATTAAAGAGAACACCAAGCTAAAAATATAGCAAAATTCAAATGAAAATGGAAAACAGCACCTCATCTTTTTGCAATTATATATTGTCGCCTACTGCGCTCATTCTGTGACAAAATGCTTTTGAAAATGCATGCGGTCAGATTGCATTTACATTTTCATGGACCTCCCAATCTGTCAATCATCCTATCATGGCTGGGCCAACAGGACTCCAAGTGGAAAAGGCTGTATTTGAAAACATGGCGGCCGAAAAGTTTATAGCTGCTCTTGCGTTGGCAGATGAGGTGAAGAAGAGGAATATAGTTACTTGTGATGTTTAACGTCTTGACCCCATGAGAAAGTGTTTAATTAAAGTTTTCTGATTTTTCAATCTGGTTGATAAAAATGAGGCTAAACTTGGCTTCCTTCTCACTAGTTTCTTTATTTTAATTTTCGAGTCCACCTTAAACAGTGCGGCAGTTACATTCTGGTGCCGCAATGCGCCCAGATGTCACAGCAGCACCGTTTAGAGTGGAAAGGATAGTCTGAAAAAGAAGCTAACTTTGGCCTTGTTTCATAAACTGAGAACGGTTTTAAAGTGAGGCTGGACATACAGAGTTGATATCTTCTTCAAAATGAGCATCAGAGGTGGATATATTGCTCTGCCAACACTTCACATGCTACTGCGCTCTGTGAATTGTGGAGGGATACACAATTAAGCTAACTAAAAGCGTTTGTTAAAGCTAGCTACTACTACATTCCCAAACAAGGCCTCCATCTGCTGATTTTATCAGATGGTTAACATGATCCAGCTCACTGTGTCACACACAAATACCTGTGATTTCTGTAATATTAATTTTAAAAAAAGGAAAGTAGAACATTAGAGACTGGCTGAATTCAGTTGAAAAGTGACACCGTACCTACACAGTACAGCGACTTTTGCCAACTCAGCCACTATGACAAGGTGGTTGTGTGATTGACTATGTGTACCAGTACAATTACAACTAAATCATTTTACTGTACATTTTTGGTAACAGATAAAGTGGAACACAGCAATACATCCACATCTGAAGCTCACTATGTAAGTTACAATCTGGTCGAACGCATTTTCAAAAGCACTTTGCCACAGAATTTGCCACAGAGTGCAGTAGACTAATATGTAATTGCCAAAAGGAGACGCGCCACTTCCCGTTTACATCTGAATTTTGACATCTTTCTAGCTTGGTGTTCTCTTTGATAATGCAATTAAATGATCAATTACATTTTAATCATCATTTATCATATAAATATTACATAATCACATTAACCATAAATAAGCAGTTCTGGAAATACATTTTAATTTAAATATGTAAATGAAATGTCAATACTTGTATACCTAGCTAATTAAAATTGAATTTTCATTTTGAGCTGAATGTTGCATATGTAAGTGGAACACTTAAATGCAAACATACAGATACACCACCAATTTTACATATTACATTTTCATTTCAATGATTCGCTTCCGTAACATAGGGTCATTTTTTTCACTTTGGATAGTAAATAATACGGTAATCTGTAGACATCTGTATACAACCCTGGTTCCTGTCAATACTATGGTAAAGAAATTCAAGTTTTAAAGTTTCTCTATAATGCACCATTTCACATTAAACCACTCAATTACTTTATTTATTTATCAAAGACTGTATCGTGCAGACATTTTTAAAAAAATGGGTGCAATTCCCTTTTAAACAGTACAGAGTATTACAGTATGAACTACCGTCTCTGAAAGTGAACATGGTCTTAACACTATGATTGTTTTTAAGAAACAGGGCCATGGATTCAGCTTTTTTTCTCCAACCATCATAATCCACAGATCTCTATTTCTCACCGACTGTCTCACTCTCTTTCACACACATGCATAAGACAACACATATGTACAAATTCTAACTGACATGATTGCTTTTTCTGGTCTTAGTGCAAAACACCAGGGAGGCTTTAGAAAACCTGAAAAACTGTGTGGCAACTCAACATTGCCAACATCAACAAATTAACATCAACTTAGTGGTCATTTGAAAAATATAACTCCATTCATTGGATGAGTGAATCATTCATTTTCATAATCCTCTTCTCGAACCATCCACATTTCAGCTGGCTTATGAGCTTTGACACATTATGAATAGTTATAACCTGTTCCATAGTCAGTGGTTTGTCATCATTCACTGGTTAAAAAGCTCTGGAAAACTTCCCTCATTTTAGTGGTTTTAACCTCATGATGCACCTTTGTGCTTGCGGGCCGATCCGATTATTGTTCCGCTGTTCTTCATATGGCCTGTGCTAGCTTTGATTTGAGTGACATGTATATAATCAAGTCCTAACTCCATTGGCTGTGCTGCTGCTAGGAGCTGTGCTGTTGCTGGGGTTCGCCGCCTGATGGAGGGGTGTATCCTGAACACGGGAATACTCCCTGACCTCTGGCCTGGCCAGGAGGTGGTGCTGCTCTCCAGGGAGGAGGGGCCTGCGCAGTAGCCCCTCCCCCTCAGCCAGAGTCTCTGGCAACGGTTGGCCTGCTGTCTCTGGCAGCAATGGAATGCAAATGATGCAGAGGAGGGTGCAGCAGGTGAGGATGACATGATGAAGGAAGAAGCCTTTCTGGTTGTGAAGCTCCATAAGTGGGGCCGTTAGCATGCCAAATCCTGCACTTGCAAGGACCAGACCTACACCTCCACCCCTATTTCATGCACACATAGAAGAAAAGGGTTAATATAGAGCAGAAGAAAAAAATGCCATACTAAGATTTCCCCCAACTAACAGCATGTATGTGAGGATATTAGCATGAATATTCAATATGCATAATATGTCTGTTCTTTTTACAATTCCAAAAAAGTTGGGACAGTAAGGGAAATAATAATAAAAACAGAGAGCAGTTTTGAGCTGTTTGACCTGTATTAAATTGAAAACTGTGCAGATATTCCGCTTCCCGTCGTGCCCAATAACACTCTTTCCGTGATAAAAATGCAGTAACACACAGCCTCGTGACAATACTGTGAACTACAGTGCTACGTGTTTAAATACAACACTGCGGATGCTCCTACTTATGTGCAATACTGCTAGTTTGGTCAATGAACATGGAAACTTCTGAAGTTCACAACTGTACCCCAGAGTTCTTCAATTCTGATCCTGAAGGAACAAGATAGATTGGTGATTTCCCTGCTCAAACACACCTGCTTTCGCTCATCTGTAAATCGGCAGGTTCGGTAGTTCTGAGCAGGTAAATTACTAAACTATGCTGGACACTGGCCCTTCAGAACTGGAATCAAAGATTCTTGCCTACATTTAGCCTTAGATCTACTCTTACACATACCATGTCATCTTAGTCTCTCTCTAACACTATTTTAGTTATTTGTATATTTATTACTTTTATATACGTCTAGTCTATTTTCATATCCCCTCTGTCTCACTGTGTGTTTAACAAAGTTTGTATATGATGTTTCCAGTACATTATGTAATTTGTTCAATTTCTCTTGCATTTGAAATAAGAAAGCAGCATAACTCAATTTCATTGACAATGAAAGTGTCAATAAAAGAAACATTTAAATTAAACAGAATCTGCATGCGTCCAAAGGGAGAGCAAAACTAGGAGAAATACACACAGACACACATAGAGGGAGGAAGGGAGAGAGAAATTGAGGGAGCTAGGGAGGGGGGCGGGGGTGGTTGGGTAGAGAGAACGCTGACCGTGACTGACTGACCTGATGACAGTAGGAGTAATCTCTGCGCAGTAGAAGATGCTGAGAGTGCTGACAGCGCGTGATGAGAACATTCCAATGATAGAAAATGCCACAGAGAACCGCCGGTTCAGAGTGTCCCTCAGAACTGACAAACAAGACAAGATCTTTAGAACTTCTCCACTGATTATACATATATATTTGTGCGTATACAAATGGATGAGTTTCTACAACCACACAGCCTTAAAATAATTAAATATGTCTATGCAAGTGATCTTACCTGTATCATGGCGAAGACTATATTTTCCAATTACTATTGTAGAGGAAAAAACAGACAAGCATTCTAATTAGTACAGATTCCACTCAACATGCACACACACAATATTCAGTTACACAAAGCCTGTTTGTTTGTGTGTGTGTGTGTGTGTGTAGGTAAACTCACAGCTGAGCAAGCCGAGCTGAAGCAATGAGGCTAGTGCTGTGATAATCATGAAGGTCAGGAGGCCGCCTCTCCTGCCAAAGCCCACCACCACTGGACAAAGTACCACACATGAGGCCATGGCAATGCCCGCCAGAGCGTAGTAATGCAGGTGAGAGGTACTGCCCTCCAGAACACTGCGTGCAAAACAGTGGTGGATACCATAGCCAGTCAGCCTGAACATATATGTGCGAGAGAGGAGAGAGAGAGAGAGAGAGAGAGAGAGAGAGAGAGAGAGATTATGTATATTAATTAGAAACACCAAAAAACAACACATATCACCGCTGTCCTCTCAAAACCTTAATTTTTTTAAATTCCATTTCATGACATAAACCAAATGAAACTGAGCAACTGTGCTAAAATCTTGTTACATTAACTTTCATTACAAGTTAAAAATGTTCTTCATTTCTACTGTACAGTTTTCTTTATTAAATCAATTACTATATTCACTATTTGTTAAAAAGTATCTAGATACTTGCTTGTCCAATATTTCTTGCTAAACCATAGGTATTAACAAGGAGCTGGTCCCCTCTTTACAACAACATCAGGCTCTACTCTTCTGGGACGGCTTTACACTAGATGTTGGAAGACTGTTGTGAAGATCTGATTGGCTTTAGTCACAAGTGCAGTACTGAGTAGGGATGCTACAATGCATTGTGATAATGTTATACGGAACAATGTGCAATGTAGAGCGTGAGCATTCATAACTGTGTTGTCTAATACATTTGAGATCCAATTAACAACCTACAGTAGCACATTAACATTTATAAACACACTCCCCCTGCCTCCCAGCTATAGTCTCATTAGTGAAATGTGCAACAAGTTTATAGTAATCATTTTGCTTTATTCAGTACCTAACCTCACTTATTGGTTGGCTCTGATACTTACATTTACTCAAACTCATCACATAAAAGAACATAATTTCACTTCTTCACAGTCCAACAGCATGGGGTTTTAAACTCCTCCAGCTGATGCTTGGTATTGGGCATGGTGACATTATGCTTGTGTGGTTGCTCCAGTGTTCCATTCTACTGGCAATGCTTTTCTAAGGAGATTATACAAGCTGGGGGTCAGTATTAGAACACCTGCGTCAGCATTGGGGTGTGCTGAGTACCCTAACTAGAAGGGATGTCAGGACACTTTTGGGCATACTGTATGTACCTATATATACACACACACCCTCACAGTCATACACACTTACGAGTTGACACAAAGCACTACAGTGCTCTTCCACAGGTTTCTGGTGCTGCTCAGCTGTGTGATGCAGGAGGTTCTGGGCTTCTGCTGCAGCTCTCTCTCCAGCTCTGGACACAAGCATCATTCACTTCATCATCATCATCCCTGTCAGGTATCTTATCAGGTATGGCTATTCATTTCATCTGAGAATTTCCTAGTCCATGCAATAACACTACTCACCTGAAAGGATTCCATTAGGATCAGCTGACGTGTCAACACCATTACTCCGGGCAATGGAGTACATTTGCTTCTTCGCTCTTTGATAGTGCTGCGTAGCCAACAACCAGCGCAGTGACTCTGGAAACACCCTGTAGAGAATGAGATGAGAGAAATCACACGTGTCATGATCGAAGATTTAGTAACCACTTGGAGCCATAAAAAAAAACTTGATGTTTGGGGGATGACCACTCCTTTTCTTCCCTCATATCATAACTTATATTTATTCCATTTTCATCACCCCTATTCCTCAGGTCAATGTCTTGGTCCTATCTCTTAGTTATGCCTGCCTACTGAAAAAAAGTTCTAAAAAGTTACAAAACACCCAATCAGTCTTTGGGGGGTGGTGTCCATCTTGATGCCAAACTGTCCCTTTATAAAATTTGGAAGATTTTAAAATTTTGTTGATATATCAAACTTAGTGCTTATATAGAAATTATTTATTTATATAAAATACCAGAAGCAGTTTAAATATGTTGAAGAAACACCGGCATAGGAAGATGTCAGATTCTAGAACATTGTGTGTCCAGTAACGAAATTCATTTTTTTTTAAGACAAATTACCAAAATTCAGGATGATCCAGGAAAATAGATTGCACGAGTTGCAACCCTATGGTCTGACCTTCTAGCATAAAGTATACATCCAAATCCAAATTCTAAGTTATCTCTGCTTTTACAGTCATGCAATCTCACCTCATACAAAAAGCATGAGTAAAAAGGTGCAGTCTGAACCCACAAAATGAAACGCATAATGAATCCAGGAGGAGCATATTCAAAGATTACAGAGTTCCCAACAAACACACTGTAGTAATTATTTAAGCAGCCACTTTTGTCACCCACTCTGACAACTCTTGCAGCATCACACCTTCACTCCAACCTTCCTGCTGCAGACTTGAAGAAGCAATTGCTGAATCGTCCTCCCATGTACCACCCATAAGTAATGATAAGAATGTGTGATGTACACAGGGGTTTTTTGCCACTCTGGACAGCCATTCTTCAGTACCAAAAACAGTCAGTTGATGCTTTGAAAAAGGAAATATTAATTAAAAACTTTACATTGCCATTGTGTTGCCCCTGCCAATTAGGTCCACCCTGACATTTTCAGAGCTAGGTTATGTCATTAGGTACTGTTTAGCTAACTTTAAGCAATGTAACAGCATCTATGATGACAGGTGGACCGATATGAAAGAAAAATATATTTGATAAATACATTTGGAATATATTTTTGTGATGCATGAAAATGGCAAAAAAAATGTATTTGTTAAATATATTTTTTAAATACATTTATTCATATTTATATTTTTTCAACTGTACGCAGTCTTAACAAAGGTTACTGATATAATTAAATGGTACTGAATTTTGTCTTTTGCATTGTACTTTGCATTATTCATTGTATGCATGCAGTAAGGCAGCACTCACACAAAATGTATTTCAAATATACAAAATATATCAAACAAGATATCAACTGCATTTTCACAGTGTATCAATACCTACAACACTTGCTTTTGCCATATTAAAAGGTTAATTTGCTAATATTTAAAATGAAGATAGTATAATATAAATTCATTTCAACATGTATTCCAAACAGTACAGTGCATTAGGTAAGTATTTTAGCCATTTTCAAACATTTTCAAATGTATTTGGTAAAAATATGTGTGTACAGTTATTTCTGTATGGTACATTTCTATGTGTAATATTTCTCCATACATTTGAAAATAAATGTATTTTAAAATATATTGGGTTAATATGGCAGTATGTTCTGAAATACATTTTAGTGTTTGGAACATATTTCAGCATGGATTGCAATGTATTTGACATGCATCTCAAAATACACAAAAAATACATGCCCGTATATTTTTTTTTTCCATATGGGGAGGAGCTCAGCAGGGGGGACCACCACTGTCACCACACTATCACATCTATCGCAGTGGTTACATTTAACAAACTCAGACAAAATCTGATTTGATGCAGTTACTGTCTAATCAAATAGGTTGTTAAAAGTGAGAAAGAATGCAAGACAATCTCCTTGACAAGTGTTCACTTGGGTCACAGGCTCATTCTGGCCAAAATGTGAAATGTTGAGGTCACAAGCACAGAATAATAGGCAATGTCTACCCCTGGATGTACACATTTTTTTTCCTCTATATATACACAAAGCCTGATCTTACCAAACATATGGAAGCATGAGGACAAATGGGACGATGATGAGAACCTGAAGAATCTGCCAATCCCGGCACAGTGCTGCTAAGCCAGGCATCAGCAGCTGCCCACCCACCACAACCAGACTGGCAACCATTGTCATGGAGAAGCGCCAACCAGGCAAACACAGCTCAATCCCTAAGAGAGAGCAGCATGGTTATTAAAACAGGAAAAAAAAAACACAATAAGACAAGAAGAAAACACTTCATTCTTTAATTCTTTTTTTGCCAAGTGAACGCAGTGGGGCTTCCAAGATGACTACGTTTTTGTTCAGCTATCCCTTCCTCTGTTTCCCTCTTCGTCTCTCTTGCTCGCTCTCTCACACACACACACACCTCACTCCCTTTGTTGTTGAAGGGCCCTCTGGTGCTGATTACCTCAGACCCCCTTCTGCCCCCAAACTGAAAGTGATCCACTCCAGTGAGGACATTTTCACCCTACTCACCCACCTCCCTCCCACCTCACACTTACACACACAGAATAGCTAATATAGCTGGATTCCTGTGATAGAGAAAACATCATGTTATGAGTAGAAATCAAACAAAGAGGAGATTTTTGTGTAATTCTGACCATAATAACCAATGTGAATATCAGACCTGCTTTGTTAGCACTGTTAAAAACAATGTTTTTCAAAAAATATATAGTACTGTGCAAAATTCCTAGGCACCTGTGAAAATTTAATTTACAAAACTTTTTGTCTGGGTACTGAGCAGTGCAGTTCAGAAAAACTAATTTTAGAATAAAAACAAACAACACTAATGCAAAAAATGATCAGTGTTACTTGTCACTGTGTTCAATTACCTCTCTTTAAGGATAACTGTGACAATGTTTTAGTTTATTAGGGTGAAACTTAACAAAAAGAAGCAGGCTTGAGTCCAAATATAGTACACTTTTAAAGTATTTCTGGGAAGCACCTTTGGAACCCTCTAAAAACTTACTCTTTAAGCAATGTTTAATGATTTGCAATCAGAAACATGCTGCCTAAGCAGCGTTAAGTAACTTTATCAATCAAATACAAAAACAAGTAATTAAATGCCAGGGAGAGGGGGCAGCTGACATTTAAAAGCAGTTTGCTTTTTTTAGATCTTTTACAAATAAAGCATATTAGCTAAGCTAAGACCAAGGATGCATGTAATTGTAACATTTACTATATGCCCTGCACAGTATGAAGCAAAACACAACCCAGCAGAAGAAGATATTTGAAGGAAACCACAACCTCAGCATCGGGTATGATGGAAGGAGGGAGAGAAGCTGTAAAACTTACTCAGTACAAAAAGGGAGAGCCTGATGGCAGCCAGGCAAAAACCCTCAAAGAAGCGAAGTGTACTAAACATGGCCACATCCACAGAGAACGCCACAGCCAAGCCGAACGCAAGCACGGACAACACCGACACCAGCAGCACCGGGATACGACCTAACCTGGGAGAGAAAGCGAGAGAGATAGGAAATAGAAGGGAGAGAGAGAGACAGAATTTTGTCAGCACATGTTTACCTGTTCCTCTGAAAAGCTTATCACCACAGTATAAATATCAAAATATGGTTCACTTTAATTTGGGGCCATTTCTTTTGGTCCACTCATGAAATGTACACACATTGTGAAAAACAACAGGCATTTTCAAATTATGTCAAAAGCCAAAAAATTACAAAAATGGAGATATGAGGTTTTGTTCCGACAGCAGTGATGTGTTATTTTAAAGTTGTGCCAGTTTTAAATTAAAAGTATTTGCAACTATATGGGTAGAATTCTATATCAATCACATACACAGTCACATAAACTATGTATAAAATATGTATATAAGTTTTTAAGTAATTTAACAAAAGAACATAATCTTAAAATCAACCTGAAATCAAAAGCATGCTTAAACACTCGTTTAGAAGATAAAGACTCATATCTTAGAGCGCAAATTCGAATGACTGGTGTTGAACTGACTGACTGACTGACTGACTGACTGACTGACTGACAGACACACACACACCATCTAAACCACTTATCCTTCTGGGTCGCGGTGGGGTGCTGGAGCCTATCCCAGCTGTCATTGGGCAGAAGGCAGGATACACCCTGGACAGGTCGCCAGTCCATTGCAGGGCAGACAGACAGACATACACAAGCAATCAAACACACATTCACACCTATGGGCAATTTAGCATGTCCAATCGTCCTGACTGCATGTCTTTGGACTGTGGGAGGAAACCGGAGTACCCGGAGGAAACCCACGCAGACACGGGGAGAACATGCAAACTCCACACAGAAAGGACCCTGGTCGCCCAGCCGGGAATCGAACCCAGGCCCTTCTTGCTGTGAGGCAACAGCGCTACGTTAAATTGACATAAATATAAAAATAGAATTATTTGGTGGTGCTTTGAACTGTACCTTGCTGGGCTACGCTAATGTAGTTAGTCAGTTATAAGTTTAACCACCACAGTACAGGCTCACTTCCAGTACATGATGCTCAAATAACACCCATTTAGAGGATAAACAATCTGGGAACACGCCGAGAGACGGATGGAACCAAAACGAGTTTTGTGGTGGGTACTGTGTATATAACTATAACCAAACCACAGCATTTATATATGCCTATTAAGTCTACAACAGTTTTATGCCGCCCATTCCTGCTGAAGTTATGACAAGGGTTTCAGCCCGGACTGCTTTTTAAATGAGACGCAATGCAGGGCAGCCAATCAGAACAGGGGCCATTCACATATATCTGTCTTAAAGGCAAAAAAAAACACAACCTATATAATTCTATGGGATAAGGAGCAGTTAGGCAATGATCAAATAAAAGCTTAATTGTAACTATTTTTGTACATATATACACACAAACAAATGCAATAAGTAGACCTCAGGGAGGTATGTAGGATATAGGCCCTTTAAACACAGGGCCCTTTAAACTCAGCACCTTCACAAGCACATACTTTAGCTTTACTACTAAATGTACGCAGATTATAGTATATTGAGTAGTTTATAGAATAGTACACAGAATAACCAAGCACTAAAGTAATTTGCACTTTGTCCAGCCCCGATTAATCAATATCATGGTTCACCTCCCCCTATTTCCACCTCCACCTATCATTGAGTGCAAACAGGTAGCTCAGAGACCCTCACTGATATGGTGTTTCACTCTGAAATATGTCACATTAACGAAGGAAAATTTCCCATTCCTGTTCACTTAAATAAATAAGTCATGTCCAATATTTGGTTTCAAATCCTTTGCAGAATGCTTGATGTCTGCAACCCATAATCATCACCAGCTGCTGGGTATTTTCCCTGTTATGTTTTGCCAGTTCTACCAGGCCTGTAATGAAGCCATTTTCAGTTCAGCTGCTTTTTTTCAGGGACTTTTTGCCTTTAGTCTTGTCATCAGTAAGAGAAAAGTTCAGCGTTGTTCAGGTTGATTAATTGACTAGGCTAGTCTAGAACACTGTACCATTTGGAAATCCTGAAACCCCACAGTTCATTTAGTAGAATGTTGTCCTGCTGAAATGAAACATTGTCCAGTAAGTTAGGGCATTTGGTGGAATCCAAATAGTTAAGGTGTTTGTTTAATCATTTCACAATTCATCTACATCACATCAGTGAAGACAAGTGTGGCACTACTGGCCTACATCCCAAAACTACCATGTTTCACAGATGAGTTGGTAAACTTTGGATCAGGAGTATTTTCTTTTGCCAGATATTTCTCTTTCTTGGTTCCTCTCAGTGTTTCTTCTTCTTGAAGGGAGTTTTTCCTTTTGAGCCTTGGATCCTATCAGTGATTCTTCCTCATACTCTTCCTATCAGTGTTTCTTTCTCACGCAGTTCAGCTGCTTGTTTCGAGGACATAATTAAGTGAAACACTCAGTATTGTTCAGGTTGATTAATTGACTAAGCTATTCAAGAAAATCCTTTGTTTTGAGTCTTTGTTCCTCTCAGTGGTTCTTCCCCATGCTCTTGGTGAGTTTTCCCTTTTAAGTCTTGGCTCCTTTCTTTGTTTCTTACTCATGCTCTTAGGAAGTTTTTTTAGTCTTGGTTCTTCTCTGTGTTTCTTCCTCATGCTCTTAGGAAGGTTTTTCTTTTTGAGTCTTGGTTCTTCTCTGTGTTTTTTCCTCATGCTCTCAGGCAAAGACTTAAAAAAAAAAAGCTATGCCTGAAAAAGCCATATCCAAAGTTAGGTCAATGATTAAGAAGTTTAAAACCTAACTGGAAGCAGACGCTGGTTTATTGTTAGAGAGGCAATTTGTTGGTTAATTGGTTAATGTGAGCAGTGATCACAGAATCAAGCTTTGGGCATGGCTGTTCCAGTCACCAGACCTAAACCCTCTTGAAAACCTGTGGGGAGAGCTCAAGGAGAGGGTCCTAAAGAGAGAACCTGGAGGATGGGGAGAGAATCTGTGTTAAGGAGTGGTCTCTGATTCCTTGCGCTTTATTCTCAGTATCTTATCAAACATCATAGGAGAAGACTCATTGCTGTTATGTGGGCAAAGGGAGGTTGCGCAGGGGTGCCAATAATGGTGACACTTGGTTTTGTTAAAGTTATTTTTTGTTTTGTTTTTGTTTTCTTAGACTGAGTTTACTTCAATTAAAGGTTTGATTTTTTCTTCATATTTTCAGTGTGAGACTGAGGCAATTAACCACAAAGACATTTTTCATAACATTTTTTACTCAGCTTTACTGAGTGTGCTAATAATTATGGAGCTGACTGCACATACCTGTGTTTTCCCTGCTCCATCACACCTACCTTAGCTCTTCAAAGACTTGATCATTCACAGATGAATTAAATCGAATGTGTTACAGCAGGGAAAACCAAAACAAAAGTTCCAAAGGCAGGGACTGAGAACCTCTGAGGTAGAGGGTGCACTGAGAAGCTTACCAGTCTGCCATAGCCCCCATCAGCAAGTAACCAAATATGGACCCCACCAGCAAAGAGAACTTAGCAATGTGGACCTTCCACTCTTCATCGCATACAAGCTGCCACTGTAGAGAGAGACAGGGCGTTACCACAGTGCTCACACATATCTGCAATAAAGCTCAGTCATACTACAGAGATGTTTGTTTAGAACTTGCTAAGTGATACTTTCAAACACATACTATGTACTTAACTACTGAAAAAAGTATACACTTATTCTGAAGAGTGATGGAAACTCTTCTTATTGAGTGTACAATACAGGTGCACAAAGTAAACTCATAATTAAGCCACTTCATATTTGCTAAAATATAGCCTGGCACTTCAAGATAGTTGCATGATGTTCAGACTAGTGATGTTGAGATGATCTTTTTGTAGGCTGTGAGTAATGTAATAATTAGAATGAGGGGATTGGTAGAAAGGAAACAGGAATTAACAGTAAGGATTAAATTGCATTTGCACCACGCAGTCTGGCTATTCATTTGTCTCTAATTTCAATATGTAGAGAAGTCATGCATTTTGAGACATTAAGTGGTTCATTAACATTCATTAGCATGTCTGTCAGTATGAAAGACTTTTTTTTAACATACACAGTAAAAAGCATCAGGCCAGGAGTGTGAAAATGGCCTCACACACACATACACAGCAAGTCAGCACAGTATGCTTCATACCTGGCTGAAATCTCAGCCAGTACCTCATATATTGCATGATCAAATAGCAGGTATTTGGATATTAACACTAAAAGACTGGTTAAAGGGGAAGTCCACCAACTTTTTCAAGTATATGCATAGTATAATCATTGAGATGTAGAGTAATTCAGAGTGTAGAGTACTGACTCTGATTTCTTTACAGTGGTGGTGATAGGAACAAATAATGCAAATATAGCCATCTTATTTACTGCCCAAAACCACCACTGCTCATATAGTGGTCCTCTGAGTTTTTATATACAATGCTGATATTGGTAAAATGCCAGTGAAAAAAAGTGAAAAATCTCAATGTTTTATTTGGGACCATTTTGCCTTATAACACCCTACCTCTCTGCCACAAAATTGATTTTAAAAACTGCCAGGCCAAAATCTTATCTTAATGTCATAGGCATCAGGTAGGGTGTTCAAATCCATTTTATGTAATAGCTTTCTGTGATGTAGCTTTTAGAAGCATTAAATCTTGAGACATTTCTCTAGAATAGAGCATTTCATTTTAAACCACACTAAATGACTTTGTCTACATCTTGACAATTATGTTGAAAAATCAATCGAACCCCCCTGTAATGCACAGCCCATTTCATTGTAGATCATCTATGACCATGAAGGAGTTGCAACTGAAGTGTGGAGCTGCAGGATTTTAGGGCAATGTTTGCGATGTGAAACACTCTTATAAGTGTGAATACACCTCATGAGAAATCAGAGAAGAGGTGGTCAAACTTAAGTTACAAGCATATCAGTCTCATCACTGGCTCATCTTATCATAAAGATCCTGCAAGTTTCAATTGTTCTGGATCACAGGGTCTTGGCTGATTTTCAACACACATGTTGAATCTCTCCAAAACAACCCCACCATCTACCACCCCCCAAACACAGACGAATCAACATGGCCCCCTCCGCCAGAACATCCTAATCTTATCAACAGACAGTCGCAAACTGCTGAGTGAACGCAACGTATAGATACATTGACGTGTACTGCTGAGTTTGTCTTTGACACAGCAGTGTAGCTGTGGCCAAAGGTTATCTGTCCCAGACTGAGAGGGATGGGTGGGACCCCCGGGCAACATTATCAGCCACTGCAGCTGCCCGCGTGCATCTGCTGAGTTCAATAAAAGTACCATAAAAGTGCCAATGTAATCCTGAAATTAGTGTAACTTTTTTCTTTTGCTACCTCATGTGCAAACCTGATTCCTCAAGGCCTAATGTAACTGAGCAAAGGCTATTTTAAAACCAGGTCAGACTCAGAAATAGATTCAGCACTGCCAAAAAATTAAAAAATAAATAAATAAAAACCGATGTAGCCTGATAAAGATGTAAGCTGTGATCAGCAGGGCGTGTCTTGCCTCAGGTAGCGGGTTAGTGCTTAAGGTTGATGTAAAGCCAATGTCAGTGGGGGTGAATGATTCATGCACTGATGTTCAAATGTACGAGCAGCCTCTTATGCCATAAGAAGGGCTAGGGGCTGGACGACACATAAGATTTCGTCAAGGACGCGAGGGTAGCAGCGCAGAGTTATTTCCTTACCTTGGTGACCACGTTCTGCTGCAGTCCTGACTGCAGCTCGAACCTGCCCTCGCTGCACATGCACGGCGCGCTGTCGTTAGCGCTCTCCGCGTCTGCCAAGAGCGGCTCAGGCGCGAGAAGGAGGCTAGGGCTGGGGCTCGCGCTCGGCATAGCGAGCCCGCTCTCGTTAATCGCGCACGCGCTCTTGGGCTGCGCCAGTAAGAAAGAATCGGAGAACTGGCTGAAGGCAATGAGCAGCGCAGGCACCCACGTCAGAGCCACGAGGCGCCGCTGGTATGTCCCGAAGCCGCCGAGGAAGGGCAGCACGGCGGCGTCCACGCGCGACAGCAGCTTGGACGAGCCGCGGGGTTCCGGCGTCTGCGGCACAGCGCCGTTTTCCGGCAGCTGGTCCAATCCGTCCAGCCGTAGCGCGGCCATGGCTCCGCCGCCGTTTCACATGCACTCCGCCGCGCAAGCACGGTCTTTTGTCTCTGCGAAAGAGCCGGCACGCCGACACAAGCTGCTGCGGCGGAGAATGGTAGTCTCTTTTTAACCACGTTGAAGCTACGTTCGGCAATCCACACTTAGATAAACCCAGTCCAATAAAGAGTGTGCTAGAGACCAGTTCAATATATAGCCCAAATGTGGCAGATCGAGCCGCATGTGCCAACTAGAGGATGGGGTGCACGGCATGCCTTTCCTCGCCTTTGTGATCCTCCTCCGGCTTTAGATCACGCCATCGCGGCGCTGCGCGAGCTTATGCAGCTGCGTGCCGGGAGCTCCGATGGGGGCAGCGTGTGGTAAACGAGGCCCGCCCTGCGTCCCCCAGGGTCCGCAGGTAACACACCTGTCTATGCGCCGATCGCGGGCAGGCGTGGCTCCGGCATCCATCCCTTAGTCCTCTCCTCGAGTCCTTCTCACATTGCGCCTCTTTGTATCGGCGCGCATGGGAGCTCAGTGGTGTACCCTTTGGAAAACGCAGCCTTAAACACGCTCTGTTTGAGGTCAGTTGCTATATTTCCCGTTCAACCACAAACCGGTCTTCTTTCTTAGCGCGGGCCGAGGGCTACGCGACCATTTTCGCCGGCGATTCAATTCAATAGCCTCCACATAACCGGACAGCGCACGCCCGCAGCATCCAAATGAAACGCCCCTCTTTACAGCCTCCTCGCCTGCTCTGATTGGTGGAGACGCACGGGACGATTTAGCCTCCGGCGTGTGATTGGACGGAGGAGCAACAAAGAACCTTTGTGTGGCCTCTTGCCCCCACGCTGCTATTGTAAACATGCCGGTGTTGCACCCAAATAAGTTACCCGTCGAACTGTCCAACCTCGAAATAACCCCACCGTAACCCCGATCCAAACCCTTCAGTGCCAATTTAACTTGTGCTTGACGACTCGGTGGGTTATAATAGTAGCCTTACGTTGCTCTTGCGTCATAGGTTTATCCCCGACTGCTACAAAAAGCCGGTTTCTTCATTCTCTTCCAATTTAGGATGAATTTAGAATGAATTGGTTATATAAACAGGACATATAAACCCCCCCCATCATGGCGTATTGTCTTCAGACTCAATAAAACACTTGAATAAATCAGGACCAACAATCTTTTAAAACGTCTCAAATTCTTTGTAGTTTTTATGACGTATTTGCGTTCTTTCACTGCTTTATGTAAAAGTGTAGCTTGGTCTGAAAACATAGAATGCAAACTAGGATTATCTAGGCTTACTTTTAAATGTTAGTGAACTTTTTATTGAACAATTACTATTGTTGTTCTTTTGTCTGTAAGACTGATATACGTGTAAATAACCTCTGTTCTGAAAAAAAAAAAAATATATATATATATACACACACACACACACACACACATCTTTTAAACTTAAAGTAAGTAACCAGGTTAACTTAAAATTTTGAGGTAATTGAAAGTGACCAGAAGAACAATTTGTATTTTACATTTGTTCATTTTTTTGAAGTTCAATTAATTCAACCTTTCAACTTAAACAGTTTACTTTTTAGGTTCAAAAGCTGTATAATTGTGGAGATTGTGGCATATACACTAAATGTTATTCTTACTATACATAATCATTTTACTTACCTTGTAGTATAGGTACTAGCTAGGCTAGTTTTGCTAAGTTAGTCACAGGACATATCAGCTACTTCAGACTAGATTACACCATTACAGGACAGCCTATTGAGGTTTATTAAATACTTAGCCATGCTGGCTAGAAAACTATGATTAGGCTGTCACTATTCTCCATTTTTTGTGGATACATGGTGGGTTTAATCCACTCCATAGATCCAGAGAGTTAACGAAAATGCAATGTCAGCTAGCTAGAGTTGGTAGTTATCGAACTTAGACACATACTTTAAAGCAGAAGTATATATGTTCTCTGTGATGTTTGTGGTGCCCAGTTCCCATTGCTAAGCTACAATTGGACAACTGAATTTGATTCAGGGGAGCAGTCTCAACTATTGAACAAAGTTGTGTTTTCAGTTCTGAGTTTCAGTCTATATTGTCAATCAATATTTTATGTCTGTCAACATATCACATACAATAACAGCAACATTAAGAGATACAGATCACTAGTTAGCTTCCCCGACTAACAACAATCCAGAAAAGCCAGCAGGCACACCAGAAACACCAGAAAGGGTGCAGAAAAAATTTATCAAATTTCTTTTACCAGTGAGGACTAAATTTAATCAAATGTATTTCTTTTAATAGATTTTTCAACTTGAACATATTAAGGTGAATTGGAGTAAGTTTTGGGTTACCAACTAATTTTTTTTTGGATTAGACAACTAAAGGAATGATACAATTATCATTCTAATTTTATTGTTTTTTGAAAAATAAATGGCCATTTTGAATTTGATGTCAACAATACGTTCCAAAAAAGTTGGGACGGGGCATGTTTACCACTGTGTTTCATCAACTCTTCTTTTAACAACACTCTGTAAGTGTTTGGAAACTGAGGAAACCAATTACTGTAGTTTTGAAAGTGAAATGTTTTCCCATTTTTGTTTGATATAGGATTTCAGCTGCTCAACAGTTTGGGATCTCCTTTCTTGATTTTGTTTATTTAATAATGCACCAAATATTTTCAGTGAGTGACAGGTCTGGACTGCAGGCAGGCCAATTTAGCACCTGGACTCTTTTAATACAGAACCATGCTGTTGTAATACATGCAGAATGTGGTTTGTCACTGTCTTGCTGAAATAAGCAAGGCCTTCCCTGAAAAACACGTCGTCTGGATAGCAGCATATGTTGCCAAAACATGTATATATCTTTCAGCACTAATGGTGCCTTCACAGATGTGCACTAATGCACCCCCATACCATCATGAATACTGGCTTTTGAACTGTCCAGTGATAACAAGCTGAGTGGTCTTTAGCCTGGAGGACACAGCATCCATGATTTCCAAAAAGAATTTCAAATGTTGATTTGTCGGACCACAGGACACCTTTCCACCTCACCTCAGTCCATTTTAAATTAGCTCGGGCCCAGAGAAGGTGGCAGCATTTCTGGATCCTGTTTATATATGGTTCTTCTTTGCATTTTAGTGCTTTAACTTGTATTTGTGGATGCAGCGACAAACTGTTTTCACAGACAGTGTTTTTCAGAAGTGTTCGTGAGCCTATGCAGTGATTTCCACTAGTACTGGTTTTTGGCCTTGTCCCTTGCATAGAGATTTCTCCAGATTTTAATGTTCTGTGGATGATGAAAAGCCAAAGTTCTCTGCTATTTTACATTAAAAAACATTATTCTTGAATTGTTGCACTACTTGCTCATACAGTCTTTCAAAGAGTGGTGAACCTCTCCTCATCTTTACTTCTGAAAGGCTTTTTTATACCCAGTCATGTTACTGACCTGTTGTCAATCAACCACCAGATGTTTTTTTTTTTTAGCATTACACAACTTTACCAGACTTTTGTTGCCCCATTCCAACTTTTTTTGGAACAAGTTGTTGGCATCAAATTCAAAATGGGCATATATTTTTCAAAAAACAATAACATTTCTCAGTTTCAACTTTTAATATGTTGTTATTGTACTATCTTCAATAAAATATAGGGTTTAAATTATCTGCACATCATTGCATTTTTATTTACATTTTGCACAGCATCCCAACTTTTTGGAAATGGGGTTGTAATTTAAAAACACACAAGATTAAATTAATAATTAACCCTGCTGGTGCCATAATATCCAAAATATGAATCCAAAATGCTTCCTGTTTTAAAATCTTGTTATTGATATTCCCACCTCTGCTACCAAGTGTGACTGTTTCTATACCAATACATCTAAGGGCTTCAACACTGTGATTTGACTTTATAAAGTGTCTAACCACCGGCGAATTAAGGTCCTTCCTCCTGATAGAGCTCTTATATTTTGATAATATGGTTTTTATTGGTCTTGATGTCTGTCCAACATATCCCATTAAGCATGGACACAATAAAAAGTAAATAACATTCTTAGAATTACAAGTAAAATGAGTTAAATATCTTTTACCAGTTCGTGGATGTGTGAGAGGACCAGTTTTTTACCAGATTATTACATGCAGCGCACTGAAGGCAAGAAAAACAACCTGGAGTAACTGGAAGTATTGGCTTTTCCTTAAGATGACAGTTGGCATATACCAATCTGACTTTTAGATTACATGCTTTAAATGAAAAGAAGGACGCTTGACGAACATTTGTGAAAGTCTGGGATCAGTTTTTAGAACATGTCAATGCTGCTGAATAACTGATTTTATCTGATTACTTTCAAGCCCACACGTAAGGACACAAGTAACAGAAAAGTTTTTATCTTTAGAAAACTCTTGTGTATAAAATCTCAATGAATCCAGTCTATGTTTAGCACCATCCAACTAAGACTGTGGATAACAATGTCACTTAAAACGATCAATTATTTCCTTTGCATATTTTTATAACCTTCATCACAACCACAAATTTTGTTAACACGACAAATCTGACTAAAAGGTAAACCTTTTTTTAGACATAGGGGATGAAAGCTACTTGCAGCAAGGAAAGGGTTTTATTTGTTGGCTTCCTATAAAGAGTAGAACTACGATTATTTTTTATTCTTAAAGAACATAACATCCAAAAAAGGAATTTATTCCCTACTGAAATCTGAACGTCTCAATGTGAGTATTCAAATAGTCCACAAATTCCTGTAGCTGTCCTTCTGTCCCTTGAAAAAACATTATCAATGTATCTTCACCAAAACTGTATACACTCCTGTAAAGGATTGTCTTTATAAATGTAGCATTCTTCAAAATGTCCCATAAAAAGATTTGCACATAGTTAGGTGCCATTGCTGAGCCTGTGGCTATACCCCGTATTTGAAGATAATAATCAGATTCAAAAAGAAAATAGTTATCAGTCAACAGTGTGCCAGGGACAGTTTTTAAGTATACCTTTGAAGGCTTTCTTCCAAACCGCATTAAACGC